GCAGATCTGTTCTATTCTTAGATCAACACCCAGACCAATACCAAGAAAATTTTTTTTAACAGAAACTCACTCCTTCCTGAGCTCCCATCCTAGCACTGAGGGAAAGCAAAGCAGTGCCACTTTAGACTCCCCGCTCCAGCGGACTTGGCTATGTCATCTTTGCACTCACGACTCCAAGCACCTCTCTACTATGGCACTCATGGGCACTACTCCTCCCTGTGCACCTCTGGAAAGCAGAATTTTATCCCCATAGTTCCTACAACCAGCCCAATGCCAGTACCATCCTAGTCTCCACTCATGATCACAAGCAAATGAAAGAGGTGCCACCACATTCTCTTCTTCAGGACTTAAGATTACTGGATCCATCCACTAGTACAGGACACGGGTGATTATTCTATAATTCTGTATTCTAATCACTGACCCAGAGCTGCTCCCAACCACAAAGTGACATGCTTACAATCTTAATCAATGGGCCCAGTGCAACTCAGACATGACAAAATGCTAAAGGTCATCTAATTGTCTCTTGACAAGGAGAAAAGGGCAGGGAGTGATGCAGCTGACAAAAAACACAGGAGACCCACCAGGAAGCGTACTAGTCCTCATGGCAACCAGGACAATGGCAAGGGCAGCTGGGCATCTCGCACCCTTCACAGTGTTTTCAGTGATGGAGGACCTCATAGGTAGAGGAGAAACCCAAAGGAGTTTTTACTATGCCAGGCCATTGATGTCCCAAAAATGTCTACGAAGAAAGCCGGATTTACCCAATGGATTTCAGTGCCTTAAAACAATTTGTCTTATTTCAAAATCCATGTCCCCCAGCTACTTCACCCCTCCCTGACTCTGTGACTATGGCAAGTAGCCAGCCTTTTGTTTTTGTACATATTAGATACATCCCATAAAAAGAGGAAATAAATGAGCTGTGACACAGGAGGAACTAAAAAGAAAATAGCTTTTCCTTATTGAGGTAAAACCCAAAATTTTTCTATATGTGTGTGTGTGTGTGTGTGTGTGTGTGTGTGTGATGAATTTATATGGCCATACTGTGCAAGTTCTGGAAGGGTATGTACAGTTTGCTTTACACTGCTGCTTGTCAAGAAATATAAAGAGAACTTAAAAAAAAATACGTGCTCTTGTACCATTTTGCAAACAGATGTGATTTTTGTATTCCAAGCACAAATTTATGGGATTTTAGATTTTTATATTGTTTTACTTATGTGTATGTCTGTGTGTCTGTCTGTATGTGGGTATGTGCATGTGAGTACAAGAGCCCAGAGGTCAGAAAAGAATGCCAGATCTCCTGGAGCTGGAGTTACAGTTGGTTGTATAATGTCCAAAATGGATTCTGGGAATTGAACTTGGGTCCTCTGCAAAAGTAGCATGGACTCTTAACTGGCAATTAATCTCCCCAACCCCTCCAAGCACAATTTTATAAAGAATGGCATGGTGTAGTAAAGAAAAAGAGGAAGTAGGTCATTCGCTCAGTGACACAACATTTGCCTAGCATGACAAGGCTCTGGGTTTGCTCCCCAGCACCACAAAAGTAAGACAAACAGACAAAAAAGCCACATGCTGTATGTGACAGAAACCTGGGGCAGGATCTCATAGATGTGACTGGTCCATACATCCTGGATAAGACATGGTTGAGAAATCTTCCAGCCTCATAAAATTAAAAACATCTCCCCTATTCTTCAGGGGGAAAATGTAGCTATTAGTAAACTCTCAAAAGGAACAAGGCTCCTTGACCCAGGCATTCCTGGCTTGGGGAGTAGATAGGATGGGACTGGGTTCATGTAAAACTCAAGGGTTGCCTGGGCTCCTAAGACACTTCAGGGATGGAGGGGCAGCATGCTTGTGTCTCAGGAGGATGGAGTGAAATGATCCAGAGTAAGCTCTAGGACATTTCCACACTATCACAGGAAATGCTTCTGAGAGACCCAGCTTCATGTTGTACCCTCTCCACCTGGCTGGCAGGTAGGCAGGGCTTTTCTTCCACTGAAGAGTCATCTAATCTGCCTCATATTCTCAAAAGTCTTGTAGGCTTATACAAGTGAAGGTATGTTTTAATGTCTTCTGTGGAGATCGTCCACGGGGCCAGTCACCTTGTTTTTCCTCCATCCTGAAAGCTCAGTAGCATAGATGGTCACATACCATTACATCATCACAACCCCAGAAGCAAAGCTGTCTGCTTCTTATGTGTAAGCCAGTTGCTGACTCATTTTCAAAGGTGAAAACACCCATATTCCTAATGATCTGTGCATCATTTCTGATGGGCCCCCAAAGTGTGCCTCAAGACACTTACTTGCATTTCCCCCAAACCTTTCTACAACACAGCATAAACTCTATGAAAATTTAATCTCAAATTTCAAGTGGCATCTGGTTTCTTATCTGTAGCCAAATGTCTTATGGGCCAGAGCCAAACAAATAACTTACTCTGACTGGCTGGCTGGCTGTGAATGTAATGATACCGTCTCTACCATATTAATGCCACTGATAACAACCTTCTTGTTAAACGTGTGTATGCTTAAACCACAGTTCTTCATCTTGTTTGCAAGCTTGATTTTGACCCCACCCAAACTCGCCCAAAGGAATCAGATGGGTTGGCCAGAAAGAAAAACTAATGAAGGACTCAAGAGAAAATGACTCACCTTTTTCATGGTTACTTGGTGGTAGTGGTGGGGGTGGAGAGGTGACAGGTTTAGATTTGTCATAGTTGTTAAAGCTCTGGCTGCGTCGGTTGTTGGCAGCAGCTGATCCAGCACGTGTTTTGGCCTCACTGCCTGCAGCAGCCACCCTTGCAGTAGGACCTGGAAGTCTAAAATGCAAAGGCCAAAGAGTAATGCAGTCAGTCTTAGGCGTGTAATAGTGTCCCGAAAAGAACTGCAACCATGCAGGAGATAAACAACAACCACAACAAACTCAGACATTGGGTCTGTGGAGACTGCTAGTCAAAGGTGGAAAATAGCAAACAGCCTTGTAATAACCCCAGGGAAGTCCAATGGCAAAACGGGAACACAATTCCTTTGAGTAAAGAGGAAATTTGAAGGAAAATCTGTAAGTTTGCTGATGAAAAACATAAAATTCATCCTCTTTATCCTCTGAGACAAGAGTTCTTACTTTTCAATATGAATAACCCACAACATCCCTGACTCTATCCAGCATAACAGCTTAACCCATGTGCACTGTGTTGTAAATAGTGTTTTCCATAATCCAGAGGTGTAGGCATTAAAGCAAGGATTCAGTTTGTAACAGTAAGAAAGCAAATGCTACCACTCCAACCCAACACATCTGAGGTGCAAATCTGAGGCCTGGCTGCCAGCACTTGTCTGGCTAGACACTTTTTTCCACACCTGACAACCTGCCCCTGTGGCATCCCTTTGAGGCTGAAGCTGAACCTTTCTCTACAGTCGACATATAAAGTCATAATTCCATCCGTAAAAACAGCAGGATCCAGTTAGTCTAAAGACAAATACACACTTTCCCTTTAAATAAAACCTCGTTTTGGGTGGTTCTGAAAGTAAAGCTGCCAGATTTCTTTGTAGTGTGTCTAAAGATGTCAAGGAGTTTTCCCTGGAGAGGTAAGGGAAAGACTCCTCAAGTCAGAATGCTGGTCCAGGGACTTACTAAGCAGGCTGTTTCCAATAATTAAAGTTGAAAGATGAATACATGATGACATATTTAGTTGTATCTTTCAGCTAAAACCCACTGAGCCGTGTTTAAAAGCAACTGGAGCCTCGGTTGACCAGTGTTAGACCCAATGATAAGCCTGAATTTTCAACTCATAAAGCTTTCAGCCTTCTTTTTCCATGTGATTCAGCGAGCACCAAAGAAGCCTGGAGTCTGGAAGCATTTTAGATGTAAGCAGTGAACGCTTTAAACTTTTTACTTGTTGGCTCAGCAAGAAAGATGGTCGTGGAGCACACAGCGAACATGAGCTGGTGTGAGAGGACTGTAAAACCGATCCAGTTAAAAATCTGGCTGGGTCCCCTCACTAGAAGCTGGGAAAGGTGGAGGGGTTGCTGTTCCCCTGGCCAGCCAGTGGGTCTTGAAGGCACTGCTTCCTACTGTCCTGGGAGCATTTACCTCTGGTTTGGAGAAATTTAGTTCCACAAAGAGAGACCTGGTACAGTTCTGGCGTCTGGGGTGGGGGCCAGATGTGTCAGCACAGCTGGTCAAGGAGATCCAGGAATGGGTCCTTAGTGCCACTGGATACGCTTCCAATGCAGTGTCCTGCAAATCATTCACCTTAGGTGACATGGCCTCATGTGCAATGGTAGAGCAGGTACACACAGGGGTCTTGGGTGGGATTGACTTAGGCAGCACGGCCTGTAGAAGTCTTTATCCCCACCTACAGGACTGGATGGAGGAGGAGGATGGGCTTGTTCCAAGATAATCTCACAGCAGGGGTATTTCATGGTGCAGGCTTCTGTGGTGGGTTGTGTAGAAAAGGGAAGCACAAAGCAGCAAGATGGAAAAGACAAATCCTTCCAGAGAGGCTAGAGCATCTTCACTGTACTCATCCCAGGCCACAGGAGACTTTTGGACAGCACAGAAGCAAGGCATCCAAGCAGAGGTAGGTCAGCCAACCCCAAGTCATTCTGATGATCTGGGAGGCTGTGGTGTAATGGACAGAAAGCAGGCATTCCCACCCACAGGACTCGATGCCAGCCTCACATCTGATATTCATATTCCTCATCTATAACTTTGGAAAAATATCTGCTCAATGAATGTTTGTCCATTTGAAACGGGACTTGATACCTAGCCTGTTGTAATTACTTGGTGCCACCGAGTTCCCCTCTCATCCTCCCTGCTTTGCATAGATTCAAAAGGACACCATCATAAAGGAATCACAAGAATCAAACAAGGAAGGAAGTAGATGGAGCTAAAGACTTAGAAAAGAGGAGGACAAAAATCAGGATCTGAGATCAACATTTTGCAAAGAGGCAAAATAGGCTTTGTCAAGCAGCACTCTTTTTCTCATTAAAGAACATTCCAGAATAGAAACTATTTTGTCTGTGATGGAGAACTTGCACTCGGGAGACTTCTGGGTTATTTGTGCCTTACTCCTGGATTCCCCCATGGTGGCCATGGCTCCTCCAATGCTGGAAATGATTGCTCTGAAGTTCATCCATCAGAAGATTTTATCATCTGAAGCCTCTTTCACCCAGCTGAAGATTTTAGCAAAACCCACCCCTGCTGGCTGGTTTTCTGTCAACCTGACACAGGCTAAAGTCATATGAGAGCTGGGAACCTCAACTGAGAAAGTGACTCTTTGAAACTGGGACACAGGCAAGTCTGTAGGGCATTTTCTTAACTAAGTGATATTACTAATTAAGAATGTGGGAGGGCCCAGTCCATTTTAGTTGGGGCCATCCCTGGGCTGGTGGTCCTGAATTCTATAAGAAAGCAGGCTGAGCAAGCCATGAGGAACAAGCCAGTAAGCAGCACCCCTCCATGGTCTCTGCATCAGTTCCTGCCTCCAGGTTCCTGCCTTGTATGAGTTCCTGTCCTGACTTCCTTCAGTGATGAACAGTGAAGAATAAGCCAAACTTATTTCCTCTCCAACTTGCTTTTGGTCATGGCATTTCATCTACAATCATATTAACATTAACTAAAACACCACATCATGTACAAAGAGTATGAGTGAATGTGGTATAAGTGAGAAATAAGAACTCAGCCCCAAGGAAACCCAGGCACCCCTTGGGATAGTATGCTGCTCTCTTAACTAAATTAGTTCAGTATAAATTTTAGTATGAGATGTCAAGTGCAGTATTTCAAAGTCAAAGGCAACCATGGTGCCCTAAGGCAGCTGGAGGCCACTCCACTGGCTGCAGGAGGCAGGACTAGTCTGCACAGTCTTCTCTGGATCTGGAGGAGCCGGCTGTCCCAAGCTGACATCTAGGTGACATGTGTGTGGGTGCAAAGTGCAGAGACAATTCACAGAAATGAAGTGATAACTTTCAAAAGTCAGTGAGGGATGAAAAGGGAGACCCCAGAGCAAGACCCAGATTTGTTGTGTGGAAGGGAATAGGAGTAGAGGCGCAGAAGACAAAGCCCACCACACATGGTGAGAGCTTGCAGAAAGTACACAGGGGAAGCTAGGCATGGAGGCTCACATCTGTAATTCTAGATACTCAGGAGGCTGAGGCAGGAGGAGCCAAAGGTCAAGGCCATTTTGGATTAAAGGGTATGTTCAAGGTCAGCCAAGGCAGCTCAGTGAGATCTGAAAGGAAGTCTTAAGGGTCTGGCTCAAAGGTAGAACACCCGCCTTGCATGCAGTACAGCAACCAGTCTGTCACTAAAGGATAGCAAAACATGGCGGCTCCCACCTGTAGCCCTGCAATGGTGAGGCTGAGGCAGGTAGACAGACTCAAACCCAGCCTGGGCTACAAAGTGAGACCCTATCTCAAAAGCAAAGCACACTAAGAGAGGGTGGAGGATGGAGCTGAAGTGTGCTGTTTCTTGAGGGACAGAGTGGAGGGAACCAGCCAGGGGAAGTGAACAGGACCAGAGGAGGGTCGATCTTGTGGGTCATACTAGGAAGCTTGGGTTCTGTCTAATCCCTCAAGGCTGAAGCACTAATTAAGGAGGCCAAGAGCAGAGCTGGGGCTAAAAATAAGAGTATGTCTAGTTTACCAGTGACACAGACCCACAGCCTCACGCAGGCTTGTGGCCTCTGGCTAAGCATTCTGCAGTTCATTACTGTTAACATCCTTGTGTATCAGGGGAGCTTGGATCAACCCCAACCCGGAAGCATGTGATGTCAGTCACATCAGAATCCTGGCTTGCTGAAGAGCTGCGTCTGACCCGTAGGAACAGCTGCAGGTGGTATGGCAGATGCTGCCCACCACACAGCCTCACTGATGTAAGGCAGTGGGAGGCAGGCAGGCGGATCGGCCCTGCGCCATTCACGGCACTAAGAGTTGCTGGCAGCTCTACAAGTAGAACTTCACTTCTGACGGTCATTTCCTATCCAGCTTCAAACTGACAGAAGGTACAGATGGGTTTTCCCAGACACACATGGGGCTTTAAAAAAAATTAAGGGAAGTGCTATGAGAAGACGGGACACAGGTCTTGCTGCTGTGAGAGTGGTGGTCAATTTCTCTAAAGTGTATAGGACCAAGCAGGAGACCGAATTTATTCTTGGCATGGAATCTAAAACTGAGCCCCTGTGCCTCCACTCCATGTGCTGTACGTGCTGATGGGAAGAGGGCAGTTCTTCCCTACCAAACCCACTTCAAAGGCCGGGAGCAGAGGGGTGCCCCTCCCAGGAAGTATGGCAGCTTGTGTGCACATGCGGGGGGGTGGGGGTGACCAGACATGATTAAATGCTAAATCTCTCATTTCCACAGCATCTGCTTTTCAGCAGCTAGGCAGAGGACTGACTACCCCACTAATTTGATTCCACTCCCCAAGTCGGCTGTGAGGGGACACACTCTGCCTGGCTGTCTTACCTAGCTCAACCCAGAAGACCAACATCACCCATGTATCTGCAACTTACTGTGCACCAACGATATTCCAAAACTGTAAAAGCCTTTTACAAAATCCTCAGGACATGCTGTGTGAAGCAAGGTAGACACAGCATGCTCCTAGAGATGGTATCATTTACCCAGGTAACATTAAGTGGTGACCGTACCCTTGTGTCACCATGCTTTCCTGCCTCCGGTAGTTAGAACACAGTAAATGTCTTCTACTAGGGGTGCTAGGGGCGACAACACAGAAGACAGCAGAAATGCACGAGGCCCACATTCAAGGGTGAGGCTTGTCACTCTGCTGAACATTTCTGGTGCCTATCAAGATACTTGGTCCTGGCAG